TAAAATGGTTAATGATACGTGGAATTAATCAAACACTCTATTGACAATTACTGGAGCAATTTGTACTGGAGCTGATCCCAACCCAGACATTCACCATAAATAAAATACTATTTATAACACTCCCCCTTGAGTGTCTATCCAACCGATAACGTGTCTCGTTAAAACATTAACTAAAATAAAACTCGGTGGGAAAAAATTCTAATAAAGGAAAAAGAGTACACATATCTAATAATATACCTTGTGGTTGCCTCGTTAAAAACCTTGCAAGGAAAACCCAGCGGGACAAAACCTTGTAAGAGAAAAAGAGTACAACGCCTATTAACTCACCTTGATGAGAGCGTCAATTCACATCTTTAAGCCTTTGCATTCTAATCTTGTGCACCATCTTCAAAATATCGTTGGTAGAGATTCGATAAACAAATCAATCATATTATCACTTGAATGAATATGTTGCAACTTGAAATCATCATTCTTGTAAATATGTAATGTCATCGTATAATGTCGTGGAATAGCCTTTTCAATATCTCCATAGAGGTATTCTCACTATCACATTATCATGCTTATATTTATAGCAAAATACATATGTGCACAAATTGCACTTAAGATATGGTACTTCAGGACCAAGAATTGTATATGTTTCAAGCGATTTAAATCCTTCAAGGATTGTTATATAAGTTAAGTCATATAATAAACTTTAATTAGATGCATATCAAGTTTTTATATCATGCTAGACAAATAAGATATCGAAAACTGATTGCACATATTATTGACTTTATACTTTCAAGTGTTTGAACTACATGTTTAAAACAACACGTCTTTCATATAAAATCAATTCTATTTGAATTATGTCTCCTCCATTTAGTCAATATTTTTGTGTCTGTATTCGACAGACTTGAGGTCCTCATCTATACTTAGCGCTATTATAGATGTCGTCGACGAACATTTTATATCAGTTCCGATATTTTTTCATAAAGACATAACATTGAGATCTCTTCATTCATATTTTCAGGTACCCGAACCTCTCCTGAGATTTTATGAAGTGTTGTGTCATGTGATTTTTCTAGATCAATTGCCTCCTTTATTATAATTATTTTGATCATTTGCCCATCTTCTTTATCGAAAAGTTTATTTGAAATCGATATGTCTATACGCTTTAAGCGTACCATAGACTTTGTCCATCTAAGACTTAATAGGAGCATTTGCAATGAGAATATAGTTACTTTCTTTGGATCAGCAAATGCGTCTGGCATGCTTTGCAATATATTGTAAATGGATTATCCTTTTATTAACTTCAAGTTCTTATTATCTTATTCGAGGATCTAGATGTACAAATGATACTTCATTCCACGTAACTTTTTCTCAACTATTTATCTTATCTCCCCCTCATGCTAGAAAAATTAACTTGCTTCCTCAACTTTGAAAACTTGTCTTTGTGCATTATGGTGTTAATCAAAATATACGCTGCACATCAATAATAATAAGATGGAATTATTTGGTTCCTGACCCTGAAACCACTTGTGAGGAGAGAATATAATATACTTTCGTATAAAATGTATATCAAACTGATATAGATAACTTTGTTCTCATAAGCAATAGTTTAGCTATTAAGTGGAGGCACTCAATAATTATTTTGCTACACTAACTGTGATGTAAACCAATTTATCAAGATAAACTTGCTTGAGTAAAAGATCTGGAAATTATGCTCTAAAATAAATTATTGAGCAAGTTACCTCGCAAGCATCATGTTGCGGGTTAATAATAATCGCGCATATAACCATCTCATAGATGCACCTTATGCGGCATACATGGCAGGTGAATGAGCCTTTCTTCACCTTTAATATTTCTAGCATTCATGGGATCCAATAATAATTTTAGTTGGTCTATCAATTAGTGAGAACAAGCAACATAAGAGAATTCATAAAGAACTTTCTAGTTCTTTAATATTTACTCATGTGAATTCTCTTTTATTTTTGTACATCATACTTAAATTAACATGGCTAAACCAATTATGCCAACTGAATAAATTATCAATATTGATAAATTTCAGGTTTACACCATGACGTGTGCAATTATCAATAAACTCCATGTTTATTATGATATGGGTTTTTATATCAATAAATATCCACTTTATTGTGGTATTCTTTTATTTGTGTAGTACAAACTAGAGAATAAAGCAGTAGCTTTTCACATACATATTACCCCGCTACAAGTTGTAGTAATAAGATATTAAATTTTTCCTTTATTTATAGTCTCAGTATGCAACCGCTTTCGCGAATACTTTAGAAATTCAATTAAGTTTATTTGAGACTTACTACAATACAATGTCTTATTGATAATCAATTTTATTCCTCCAAAATAGTAATAATTGGCTCTTCTAGAGCTCTCAATTAATTTGGTACTATCACATATTCATCAACATCCATATGGTGAATATCTCCATTAAAGAAAAAGTTATACCATTATGGTTATGGTCAAAATTATATGCAAGATATGTTTCTTGCATTAATGTTAAAATATTTTGGTGTACAATAGGTACGTGACCAATGATCATTCATGCCATAATAATGACATTATTTTCTTATTTCATCTCAAACCTCCTTTTAGAAGTGAGTGTGGTGGTATATCACTACCACTAGCACATTCATATTCTTTCAAGAATGAATATGTATTCATAAATCAAATGTTGTCACATTCACACCATGAATGGATCATAATCATCTGTATGTGCTTTATAAAATCTCATGTCAAATCGATGATAAATTTCACAGAGTGAAGGATTATTTTGAGAATCTTTATTATTCTCATTACCACAATGATGACGATTATAATTTCGTCTATTGTCATGTTCATATCCATTGATATTTTCACGATAATAATTTTGTCTTCTTTCAGACTTACCACATATTGCTATCACGTTCTCTTAAGGGAATGAGAATGAAGCAAATTCAATGGGACGGGTTTTCACTTCTTGTGTTCACGATCATACATGACTTTGATCATGACAAGACATAGAAATTTTACCACTTCGAGAGGTTATAATTTTTTGCTAACTCCATTAGAGTTATGATCAAAACTTATTTTCTTTGCTTGTATTTAAACTCAAATTATAGAATAAAAGAGAAAAATACGGTAAAATATATACCTTAAATCCAGAATTTAATCATGAAGGAAGTTCATGGAATAATTGACAATCACTATGTTCAATCCCAAAGCTTCTACTCAATTGGTTAGAGTATCGTGCTGATAACGTGTTATGAAACAATAAAAGAAGAAAAAGAGTATTACAAAGAAAAGTAGGGAGAGAGAATTCTTATTTTGGAGTGATTTACAATGGAATAGGACCCATCTATTTATAGGGAAAGAGTGACTTAGCCGCTAAATAAGATCCCTAAAATCTCTCTAAAATATAGACATTCACCATAAATAAAATACTATTTATAACAAATAATATAATTTTCGTTGGTCATACAAAAATAATACTGTTCACAAGGCTCTATGAAGCTTTTGATTTACGGTATTAAATAATAGTTGTATTAAGTCATGTAAGATAGAATATATAGTTAAAGTATATGTATATTACCAAGAAGAGATTATAGCATGTAAGACATAAATACTTTAAAGTAATCTTTACATTGTTATAAATATATTATATTATGGATGTTCATTTAGTACTCCGTTGTAATAAGCTTACTGAAGAAGTTTATCCATATGGGACTCCGCCATAAATATGTTTATCTATTTAGTACTCTATTAGAAATAAACCTCCTGAAGAAGCTTATCACTTCGGTACCCAATTATGGATAAATATTACCCCCGGTAGAAGATTATCCATACCGGGTATAATAAGTTTATCCTTTCGATACTCTGTATGGATAAACATTACCTCTGGTAGAAGATTATTCATATCGGGTACAATGAGCTTATTCTTTCAGTACTCCGTTATGGATAAACATTACTCTCAGTAGAAGATTATACATATCTGGTACAGTAGCAGCTTACACAACAACTTCCTTTCTTCTATAAATAAAAGAGATTTCAGTTCATTATGTACATAAGTTTGAATTCGAATAATATATTAGTTTCTCTCTATACCTGTCTTTACTTTACAGTCTTTATTTTATAACACGTTATCAGTACGAGACTCTGCCATCTCGAGCAAATACTTTGAAAGTATCTGAGGTATGAACTTTCTTTTTCTATATAATGTCAAATCTTTCTAAACTTGAATTTGTAGCCTGGATATATCGGGCAAAAGCTACATGTCTTGGGTGCTTGATGCTAAAATTCATCTTGATGTGATGGGTCTGGCAGACACCATCAAGGATAAAATCAGGCATCAAACCAAAACTGTGCCAAAACAATGATATTCTTACGCCATCACCTTGATGAGGGCCTGAAAATGGAATATCTCACTATTAAAGATCCAGTCATACTGTGGAATAATTTGAAATATAGATATGACCACCTGAAGATGGTCGTTCTTCCACAGGCATGTTATGATTGGACTCATCTAAAGCTACAAGATTTTAAATCTATAAGTGAATATAATTCTGCTATGTTCAGAATTATTTCCTAATTGAAATTATGTGGTGATAATATTACCGATCATGATATGTTGGAGAAAACTTTCACCACTTTTCATGCCTCAAATATGCTCCTGCAGCAACAATATCGAGATATGAGATTTAAAAAGTATTCTGAACTTATCTAACATCTTCTTATAGCCGAGCAACATAATGGGCTATTAATGAAAAACACGGCCAATATGAGAAAGAGAAGCTAGGCAGGTCGTGTAAAATGGGTTACCGGTCGGGTTATAAATAAAAGGGTGGTTTGGTTTTGGGCTAGGAGTAATTGGGCTAATGTTGGTCCAAAAATTGTTTAAAATTGGGATGTTATTTAAATACCCAAAATTTATCAAAATAATTTATAAAATATGCTTAATAAATAAATGAAAATATTATTTATACACTAAAATGCTTAATATCTCTTTCATTTTCCCTGAAGTTGAGGATATTCTTTTTCATGCCCACAGATTTGGGATTGCAAGAGCATCGACTTGATGGAGAGGAGTATCTTGAAGTAATTGATGAATTTATGGAGGCTGTTTATACTCGTTGGCCCCATGTGATTGTGCAGGTACATTCCTTGGTCATTTGAGCTCTTGTCTTCATTCTCGTCACAAATTTCATGTTATGTATGTAATGTCCTTTTAATTCACAGTTTGAAGATTNATGGAATTGGATCTTGGAAATGATCGACTCACATAGATGTTCATCATAAGCCTTTGTTTTTTCCTCCTCCCTGTGTTCTATTAATCAGAAGCATCCAGCAACACCAGGCCTCGCCCATGCCAATAAAAAAGAGTTAAGCTATTAAACTAAGCTGTTTTTGGGAGCTCAGTAGATGAGCATGACCTAGAACCTTGGTGCCTACACTAATGCCTCATTTGTTTGCACTTAATGGAGGTCTGAATGTTAATCATTCAAATTTCAGACATTAAGTGCGTTTGTTTTTAAAGTCTAAATCTTACTTATTCAGATTTTAATCATTAAGTGTGTATATTTTTTACTCCATAACCACTTAATGGGTCTGAATAGGCCTGTATGATTAAAATCTATAACAGAGACTTAATTTCATTAAGATGTTATCATTCATATTCATTATTAATTGCCGCCACCGCCTACCATTATCAACTACCACCATACCACCACCACCATCCTCAATCATAGTCGCCACCGTATCGACTACCGCCATCCACCACCCCCACAACTCCCACCACCATCATTCTCAACCACAACCAACACTCGTCCACCTCAAACCACAACTAACCACCCATCACCATCAATAACCATATTCGGCACTGCCCATCATTATAAACTACCACCACCCACCACCACCTTTCTCAATCACAACTACAAGCATCACCCGCCATTATTAACTATCACCATCCACCACCACCATCCTCAATCAATATCGAGCAATGACTGTGGCAACATGTGAGCTAGTTTGGATCAAACATTTGCTTAATGAGTTGAAATTTGGTGAGGTCAGCAAGATGAAACTTGTGTGTGATAACCAAGCTGCCCTTCATATTGCATCAAATCCGGTGTTCCATGAGAGAACCAAACACATTGAGATCGACTGTCACTTCGTCAGAGAAAAGATACTCTCAGGAGATATTGTTACAAAGTTTGTGAAGTCGAATGATCAGCTTGCATATATTTTCACCAAGTCCCTTACTAGTCCTCGTATTGCTTACATATGTAACAAGCTCGGTACATATGATTTGTATGCACCGTTGAGGGGAGTGTAAGATGGTTATGTACATAATATGAATTAGTCCTAGTCCCGCATAGAATAGGAATATGATATGTATTGTATAAATATGACTCATTGTATTATAATTAAACGAAATATCAATAATAGATTTTTCTCCCATGCATTCTCACAGTAACAATTAAAATTAAACCTTCATCTTAGCTAGTTGTATCACCTATATGGATTCTTTACCTCACTGTTTTTTGTTCTTGGCCAAGTCTATATTGATTTCGAGAGATTGTAGGTTCTTCGAGGAAAATTCCACTTAGATGATTCTTTTTTTTAGAAGGTAATATTTGTTGCATATATATTAACTGTATCAAAACAAGAATAACTATCCATAATTACAAAGGGTGGTACAGGAAGATTTTCAAGTCCTTACAAGGATCCTAAAACATCAACAAAAGATTCTGGATCTTCCATGTACTCTTGCTTACACCAAAAATAAAAAAGAGCTAAACAATGCATTTTCATTCTCTGGATAGAACTATGTCTATCTTCAAAACATCTTTGGTTTTTCTCTTTCCAAACAGTCCACCAAATGTAAGTTGGGACAATCTTCTATCTCTCTTTCTGATTAGGGGAGCTACTGAGTGTGTTCCAGCATTCTAGAAGTTCAATAGTACTCCTTGGCATTACCCACATGATTCCTTTCAAGTTAATGAAAATCCTCCAAATTTGTTGTGTTATCCTGTGGTGCAAAAAAAGATCGTTGATTGTCTCTGCCTCTTCTCCACATAAGTAGCATCTAGAGCATAGGTGGAAGCCCCTCTTGATAAGATTACTCTCAGTTAAGACTGCTTTTCTGGCTAGCAGCTACGTGAATCAAGCAACTTTGTATGGAATTTTGACTTTCCAAATTAGTTTCCAAGGCCAACTTCCAATCTGATTATTAGAGGTGTTGTATTCCTTGTAGGCAGACTTGACTGAGAATTTACCTTGCTTATCCCTTTGCTAGAACATACAATCTTCAGGAGTGGAT